ATACATTTTGAAATAATACACTTCTTTTCAAATTTTGTTGTTGATTTTCTATTTAATTTTTTTTTTTAATCCGATATCAGAGTCGCTTGCCAGTGAGTTCAGTGACGCATTTTAAGCACTCCAGAGCTGCTCTAGAGCGCCCCGGGCTAATTATAGGCGTTCCAGTGTATCAGAGTTTTACGCAACCGAACTTTTTTTTTCGGGATAAAAAATAGCCTATATCACTCTCCTCTATAGCCGATTCGATTGACCGGATTAGATCGATCTGGTTCAATTTAAATGTTCCACACTGTGTTCGATTCAAGCTGGATCAGTGCACCCTCATCAACAAAAACATGATCTAGATCAGAAGAAGTTCACTTAAATTGAACCCAAATCGATCTAATCTGGGTCAATTGAATTCACCTTATATAGATACGTGGTATTAAGTCAAGATCGGTCCAGCCGTTCTTGAATTCAAAAAATAATAAAGTTACGTCGTCGGTTGAATGCAAGCCTAAATAAATGAAATATGTCAACGTTATTTCATGCTGTCAAAAAAAGTTGGGTTATGTTGTTATGTAATGTGAATGAGTTTGTTTACAATTAAATTAATAATTAATTCAAAATTAATTTCTTTTTCCGAGATGCGTAACCTATCCACAAACCTTCCTTGGGATGGCCATAATAACCTACCAAAGTTTCATCGTAATCGGATAAGTGGTTTTAGAGCGCATATCCGGATACCCCGTGAACTTTGATTTTTATATATATAGATGGCTATCAGTGAAATAAAAAATGTACTCAAAAAATACTTCAATGAAGTACTTTAGGAGTACAATATAAATGTACCAAAAAAGATGTTCTAGTGGTGCTTTTTCTCTGTCGGAAAAGTACTTTTATGAAGCATTTCACAAATACTTCCAACGCACGTTTGAAGCACTTAGAGCACTCCATGTTGGAAGTGCGTAACTGAAGTGCTTCTATGATTGCGCCTTTTTTTTACTGGCCGGCTGGACATCCCAGAAGCGGCTGAGTGGTTTTGACAAGTACTTCTCAGATATGCAAATGCGAAAATACAGCACAATTGAAATACTTTTCATGTAGTTTTGTGTTATCTGGGATTGTTCCTAACACTTGCGCAAAGTGTCTTTCCCGCACTCAAAGCTTATCCGAACTCCGCTTCGCGTCGTTCGTCTAACTGCTTTTTCGTGCGGGAAAGTACCACTTTGCGCACTTGTTAGGAAAATAACTATTTCGGTTTTGAGGTGTTCAATTAGGCAATCCAACGACCTGTCCTGGTTGGCAAACAATAAACAAAAAACATATGTTTTTCTTTTGGTAGGATTAAGCCTAGTACTCATAACAGCGAAATTCGCTCTTTTTTGAGATTGCTTCGACAATTTGACGTTTTATGCATGAATCAAACGTCAAATTATCCAAGCAATGTCAAAAAAGGGTAAATTTCGCGGTTATGAGTACTGTGGTACTAGGCTTTATCAATCTGACACTTTTCTGACATCGTTGACATGTAACAACCCGTATTCTAACCTCATAAAAATTTCAAAATGCCGGCTGGTTGGCAAAAGTCACGTGGTTTGGATTCCCTAATTAAAAATAACGATAAATCGGTTTATCAAAAATTAAAGCCGATTTCACAATAGACAGCCCTAATTTAAATAAGATAATATTCACTAAAAAATGTAGTTGTTTTAAATAGGGGCGGCCCTTGGCGCCGCCAGCCAGCGGGACAAGGGGGGCAAGGCACGAGGGGGCCTGTCCCCGTACATACGCCACCGGTGTAAATTTTCGCAAGTGTGAAGGTCATTTTTATGTATGTATAAAATGTATGCTCTTTTGTGGATTTCTATTGACATATGTTTTAGTGTTCTATATTTTATAAAAAAAATTGAGAAAATTTTTGAATTAATTTTCTCTGCTAGGTATTCCATCCACAGACGCGTTTCGACCTATCAGGTCTCGTCAGTATGGCTAGGAAAGCAAAGAAAACCAATCCAAGTTTAGTGCCTGTAGGCAAAATAGTGGATAATAGGAGAAAACTTGTTTTCCCTATTCTGGGTTTTCCCAACTATCGGATTTTTGGTCGGCCTATTAGATGGTCATCACTAAATACAGCAAAAGTGCTATTTAGTGTTGAATACTAGTCTTAGATGGCGCCACGATTAAATTTCACTCGTCGTATTACTTCTATTTTGCCTACAGGCACTAAACTTGGATTGGTTTTCTTTGCCTTCCTAAGTTCCTAGCCATACTGACGAGTCCTGATAGGTCGAAACGCGTCTGTGGATGGAATAGCAGAGAAAATTAATTCAAAAATTTTCTCATCAGTGGATAATAGGAGAAAACTTGTTCTCCCTATTTTGGGTTTTCCCAACTATCTGATTTTTGGTCGGCCTATTAATGGTCATCACTAAATACAGCAAAAGTGCTATTTAGTGTTGAATCCTAGTCTTAGATGGAGCCACAATCAAATTTCGCTCGTCGTACTATTTTATAATAAATAAATATATTTTGATTTTGCTGTATAATTCAACTTTCTGAATCCAGGAGGGGGGCAAATGCCCGATTTGCCCCCCCCCTGCCGGCGCCCATGGGGGCGGCTTTTTCATGCCTGCACAAAGGCGGCAGAGGGGCTAGGACCGGCCCTGAGGAGGGGAGGGGCCGGCTAAATTTCAGTGGCGGCCCCGGTCCCCTCTGGCCACCCCTTGGCGTGGCCACTGTACAAAGTAAAGTAGTGTTCACACAATTGACACTGTGGCGTTTGTTAAATGGTAGGAGTCAGTTTGGTGTACACTTTATTTGCGTTTGGAAATAATTTGTTACCCGAATGGTGTGAAGATGGTGGGACACCGTTTAGTCGGTGCGGTATAAAATGATCAAGGAGAATAGACACTCTAAAGGAGTGTATATCGACCTCGTTTTTGGTAATCGCCACAGTATTGGTGGCATAAGTCGTCAGACGTCAGCTGTTTAAACAGCCTACTTCAAGGCGAGAAACGCCATGCTGCCTACGTCACAACTGGTTGTTTGGAAGGGGGGAATTTTTTACACACAGGCCTTATGGAGATAGGCCATGCTGTAGTAGTAGTGTGTATCATCCTTGCAAAATGATGGCATTATTCGGTGCACGGCCGATTACACCTTCATCACGTGATATAACCCTGTACTACGTGCAAGAATCGTAAACTCTACAGGATTGCTCAATCCCATAAGACAAACGTTCATAAAAACATCGAAGATGGCGGTATGCGAATGACGTCACGCAGTCCTTGATCGGTTTATGTTTTATTATGACAGTGCACTTTCCTTGCATTTTCAAACGTGAAAAATTGTTATTTTGAGGTTATTTCTTTTCTTGAGGCTTGAATGGTTGGCTAATTAGGAAGCCGAGTTTGTTTGCTTTTGCTTATCAGCAAGGTAATTTCAAAATACCCACATAAATATTATATTGAAATGTGCATGCATTTCTTTTAGGTAGCTTTCCTTAAGGCAACAACACGGTACATTTATAAAATAGATATGCCGGGAATGAGATATGCTGTGTATGGGTGTAATAACAACTATTTGATCGAAAAGCAAGCAGTCAAAAATGTAAATTTCATCGCTTTCCTAAAGGAAAAAAATTTGTTTCCAAAACTATTCAAAACGAGTGGATACCTAGTTTTTTTGTAAAAGAAAGGACAAACCGAATGCAGATACATTTTTTGCATTTCATTATCAAAATATAAGCGAAATGTTGCAATAGTGTGTTTTATTTTTTACTGTCATCTCTTCTTACTTCTCAATTATATTATTCAATACTTTGATAGGTACTAGAACAATTCAATATGGATATTCAAAGTAAGCTTAGCTCACGAAGCCAAATTGTGATACCTACACTTTATTTTTTCCCAAGATAGATTTTGACATTGAAAACTTTGAAACATAAACAATAACGCTTCACCCTGATTAGTCACAAAATGAGGTGTTTCTGCAGGTTGACATCAGTTTTACAATAGCGACCAATAAGCGGCATTGTTTATGTTTCAAAGTTGACAATGTCAAAATCTATCTTGGAAAAAAATAAACCATAGTTTAGATTTTCATAATCAGAATCCAGAAAAACACTGCAAGTTTCCCATATTTTCCATGCGTTTACATAGTAAACGCGCCAGTAAAGGAATTTATTTACATATTTATTTATTCATTCTTCAAACACTAATTTTTAGTAATTACATGCAAAGGAAACTTACAACTAAGTAGATATTTGATTTACAAAAAAAAACAATACAAATGCTTGACTAGGATTAGGAAATACTAACAGTAGAAAACTAAGCAATACACACGAATAAAAGAAAGCGATGTCCTGATAAAACAAAACCAATGTTACAAAACCACTAAAACCAGAAAATGTTTGGGGTTTCCGCGAGTAATGAGTCTTTTATGCGTACACGCATTAAATGAAACATCAAATTATACTTATAACACTTGATAAACTTCGAATTTACGATTAAATAATTGTCAGCACAAACTGAACATCATTCGTATCAGCGGCCATCTTGAAAATCCGGGATGCACGTGACGTCATAGCAATTGTGAACAAATTTAGCCGATTGAGCAATCCTGTAGAGTTTACGATTCTTGTACTACGTGTGTACTACAAGAACACCGCATTAGCACCGCTCCAAAACCCTATTCTGAACTCGACTAAAGTGTCGAAAAACAATTTCCTGCTCGAATAGTGTAAAGATAGTTGAACACCGTCTACTCGGTACAAAATGAAGGTGTATTCGGTGTTACACGAACTCCCCACTAAAGGTATTCACTTAAAACCCAAATCCCATTCCGAACTCAACTTTTACTATATTATCGAACACACCACTGGCATCACGAGAAAACACAAGTGTCAAAAGACAAATCAGCTGTGTGTCACCCAAAAAAATCTTTATTGCATTATAAACAAGTACAAACTTAAAAAGTGCTTAAAAATGGTATAAACAAAGACGACAATTAACAATATAATGTCGGACCGTGTATTGGACTCGGAGGGTTGGCAAGAAGAAGCGCAAGCGGTGATTAACGACGTCAAGGACCACGTTAAAACCATCGAAGTGTCGCGGGCCTTGGCCAGCTCGAATTCGCGTATTTTTCTCAACGTCGAAACGCTCGAGGGCGTCAAATACACGTTCGAATTAACGGTGCAAGGCTACCGGTTTTGCGGCAAAGTTTTCGACAAGGACGATTGGGAAAATAGTCAATATTTCGAGACTCCGTACGCCCTACTCAACTCTGTCAGTGCCAGGTTCAAAGAGTCGTTTATGGACGTACTGTTTAGGAAATTGACTTACTGCAAATAATTATTTGGTAAATAAAAAGTTTCAAGTTTAAATTTTAAATGTTTATTTATTGGTGGCTCTATCTGTTAATCAATTACGTAACTCACTGCTTTGTGTGGTGTAAAATACAGATGCCGCTGATTGCGCAAGCGCAATTTGTTCCCTAGTCAGTGATAATTTTTTTGTCTTTTGACATTTTTATTATTATTTTTGACTGACAACTTCTGTGTTGTGGTGTGGTGTGTTCCTTCTATAGTCAACACAGTTTTTCCTAATTATTTCATAAAATAACCCCTTCAAAAAAACAGTTACCAGAAAGAAATTAATGTTCAATTTTAATCACAGAATTCAATTTCCTCCTAGTTAAAAGGCCCCACTCATCATAAATAATACTATTTTAATTGATAGTGTCCTCGATGAACTTTGTGAATCAATTAATTATGTATTTTTCTGTCGGACTTTAGTATAAATGAATCTTGTGCTTGTTTGCAGTGATAGTGAATAAGGTGAGTATTTTGGTAGCTAAAATAATGAGTGCTCATAATCATAAGCTTGCTTACCTTGCTCTAAAACCTCAAAAAACCAAGGATGAAACAAGACCGAAAATTACAAATTTAAAATAAATTTTCTCAGAGGTCATTTACTTCAATTTTGATTTGGTCAAGGGGTTAGTCTTAACATATTTAAATATCCGTGAAGTGAGCTCCTTGTTGCCAGCAACAAGGAGCCAGCAACAAAAATTTTACAGCCGACCAGTTCATTACTGGTGATGATTATTTTAAAATGCAAAATCACAATATATCTTCTTTTAAATGGTTAAATAATTTGAAATAGGGACAAAATACATTTCCCCAGGGTTATTTCACTACTTATTCGCCAATTTACTATAAATTATAAATTGTTGAAAAAATAAGTTGCTTTTTTATTTTTCCAATTTTGTGTTTTTGACATTTTATTTGGGTATCTCCCTTATCAGAGGGCTAGGGGGGTTAAATCTAGGTCCATTTGACGTCTTTCTAATCACTCTTCGACATTCTATTACAATTTAAGTGAAACAATACCTTCAAGTTTGAGAAAATTGAGAAAATCCTATGATTTTGACATTTTATTTGGGTATCTCCCTTATCAGAGGGGTAGGGGGGTTAAATCTAGATTCATTTGACGTCTTTTCAATCACTCTTCGATATTCTATCACAATTTAAGTGAAACAATACCTTGAAGTTTGAGAAAATTGAGAAAATCCTATGTTTTTGACATTTTATTTGGGTATCTCCCTTATCAGAGGGGTAGGGGGGTTAAATCTAGGTTCATTTGACGTCTTTTTAATCACTCTTCGATATTCTATTACAATTTAAGTGAAACAATACCTTGAAGTTTGAGAAAATTGAAAAATCCTATGTTTTTGACATTTTTTTTGGGTATCTCCCTTATCAGAGGGGTAGGGGGTTAAATCTAGGTCCATTTGACGTCTTTTTAATCACTCTTTGACATTCTATTACAATTTAAGTGAAACAATACCTTGAAGTTTGAGAAAATTGAAAAAATCCTATGTTTTTGACATTTTATTTGGGTATCTCCCTTATCAGAGGGGTAGGGGGGTTAAATTTAGGTTCATTTGACGTCTTTTCAATCACTCTTTGATATTCTATCACAATTTAAGTGAAACAATACCTTGAAGTTTGAGAAAATTGACAAAATCCTATGTTTTTGACATTTTATTTGGGTATCTCCCTTATCAGAGGGGTAGGGGGGTTAAATCTAGGTCCATTTGACGGCTTTTTAATCACTCTTGGACATTCTATTACAATTTAAGCGAAACAATACCTTGAAGTTTGAGAAAATTGAAAAAATTCTATGTTTTTGACATTTTATTTGGGTATCTCCCTTATCAGAGGGGTAGGGGGTTAAATCTAGGTCCATTTGACGTCTTTTTAATCACTGTTCGACATTCTATTACAATTTAAGTGAAACAATACCTTGAAGTTTGAGAAAATTGAAAAAATCCTATGTTTTTGACATTTTATTTGGGTATCTCCCTTATCAGAGGGGTAGAGGGTTAAATCTAGGTCCATTTGACGTCTTTTTAATCACTCTTTGACATTCTATTACAATTTAAGTGAAACAATACCTTGAAGTTTGAGAAAATTGAAAAATCCTATGTTTTTGACATTTTTTTTGGGTATCTCCCTTATCAGAGGGGTAGGGGGTTAAATCTAGGTCCATTTGACGTCTTTTTAATCACTCTTTGACATTCTATTACAATTTAAGTGAAACAATACCTTGAAGTTTGAGAAAATTGAAAAAATCCTATGTTTTTGACATTTTATTTGGGTATCTCCCTTATCAGAGGTGTAGAGGGTTAAATCTAGGTCCATTTGACGTCTTTTTAATCACTCTTTGACATTCTATTACAATTTAAGTGAAACAATACCTTGAAGTTTGAGAAAATTGAAAAAATCCTATGTTTTTGACATTTTATTTGGGTATCTCCCTTATCAGAGGGGTAGGGGGGTTAAATTTAGGTTCATTTGACGTCTTTTCAATCACTCTTTGATATTCTATCACAATTTAAGTGAAACAATACCTTGAAGTTTGAGAAAATTGACAAAATCCTATGTTTTTGACATTTTATTTGGGTATCTCCCTTATCAGAGGGGTAGGGGGGTTAAATCTAGGTCCATTTGACGGCTTTTTAATCACTCTTGGACATTCTATTACAATTTAAGCGAAACAATACCTTGAAGTTTGAGAAAATTGAAAAAATTCTATGTTTTTGACATTTTATTTGGGTATCTCGCTTATCAGAGGGGTAGGGGGGTTAAATCTAGGTCCATTTGACGTCTTTTTAATCACTGTTCGACATTCTATTACAATTTAAGTGAAACAATACCTTGAAGTTTGAGAAAATTGAAAAAATCCTATGTTTTTGACATTTTATTTGGGTATCTCCCTTATCAGAGGGGTAGAGGGTTAAATCTAGGTCCATTTGACGGCTTTTTAATCACTCTTGGACATTCTATTACAATTTAAGCGAAACAATACCTTGAAGTTTGAGAAAATTGAAAAAATTCTATGTTTTTGACATTTTATTTGGGTATCTCCCTTATCAGAGGGGTAGGGGGGTTAAATCTAGGTCCATTTGACGTCTTTTTAATCACTGTTCGACATTCTATCACAATTTAAGTGAAACAATACCTTGAAGTTTGAGAAAATTGACAAAATCCTATGTTTTTGACATTTTATTTGGGTATCTCCCTTATCAGAGGGGTAGGGGGTTAAATCTAGGTCCATTTGACGTCTTTTTAATCACTCTTCGACATTCTATTACAATTTAAGTGAAACAATACCTTGAAGTTTGAGAAAATTGGAAAAATTCTATGTTTTTGACATTTTATTTGGGTATCTCCTTTATCAGAGGGGTAGGGGGGTTAAATCTAGGTCCATTTGACCTCTTTTTAATCACTGTTCGACATTCTATTACAATTTAAGTGAAACAATACCTTGAAGTTTGAGAAAATTGAAAAAATCCTATGTTATTGACATTTTATTTGGGTATCTCCGTTATCAGAGGGATAGGGGGGTTAAATCTAGGTCCATTTGACGTCTTTTTAATCACTCTTTGACATTCTATTACAATTTAAGTGAAACAATACCTTGAAGTTTGAGAAAATTGAAAAAGTCCTATTTTTTTGACATTTTATTTGGGTATCTCTCTTATCAGAGGGAAGGGGGATCAAATCTAGGTTCATTTGACGTCTTTTCAATCACTCTTCGACATTCTATTACAATTTAGGTGAAATAATACCTTGAAGTTTGAGAAAATTGAGAAATTCCTATGTTTTTGACATTTTATTTGGGTATCTCCCTTATCAGAGGGGTAGGGGGGTTAAATCTAGATCCATTTGACGTCTTTTTAATCACTCTTTGACATTCTATTACAATGGCATGTAATATTGACAGTTGAGTTTGAGAGGGCGCTTTTGTACTTGGAGCTATTCAAATTTTGGCGCGAAAATAATCGATTGTAATTTTAACCTCAAAAGTTAAGTTTGATGTGTGGTTTCAAAACAAGCTGACGTTGAAACTTTTAAAAATATTCTCTAAGGGCCACTGAACGCTTTGGAAGATATTTTAACTTATTCATTGTCCATTGTTCATATGTAGTCATCTTTCCTTCTATCCAATTTAGGCGGTATGAAACTATTGACATTTACCGCCAAAATTTGAAGCACTTCAAGTTCACTCGCGCCCTCTACGAAATTTTGGGGAACTTAACTGGATATTTGCTGCCATTTAAGTGAAACAATACCTTGAAGTTTGAGAAAATTGAAAAAATCCTATGATTTTGACATTTTATTTGGGTATCTCCCTTATCAGAGGGATAGGGGGGTTAAATCTCGGTCCATTTGACGTCTTTTTATTCATTCTTCGACATTCTATCACAATTTAAGTGAAACAATACCTTGAAGTTTGAGAAAATTGACAAAATCCTATGTTTTTGACATTTTATTTGGGTATCTCCCTTATCAGAGGGCTAGGGGGGTTAAATCTAGGTTCATTTGACGTCTTTTTAATCACTCTTCGACATTCTATTACAATTTAAGTGAAACAATACCTTGAAGTTTGAGAAAATTGAAAAAGTCCTATTTTTTTGACATTTTATTTGGGTATCTCCCTTATCAGAGGGGTAGGGGGGTTAAATCTAGGTTTATTTGACGTCTTTTCAATCACTCTTCGATATTCTATTACAATTTAAGTGAAACAATACCTTGAAGTTTGAGAAAATTGAAAAAATCCTATTTTTTGACATTTTATTTGGGTATCGCCCTTATCAGAGGAGTAGGGGGGTTAAATCTAGGTTCATTTAATGTCTTTTCAATCACTCTTCGATATTCAATCACAATTTAAGTGAAACAATACCTTGAAAATTGGAAAAATAAAAAAGCAACTTATTTTTTCAACAATTTATAGTTTATAGTAAATTGGCGAATAAGTAGTGAAATAACCCTGGGGAAATGTAT